GGACTGAAAGTGAACGCTGACTGTTACATTAGACGTGGTGGAAACTTCCTACTGCAACAGGAACGGGCGCCAGCAGATGGCGCGCAAAAATTTTCGCCATCTCGCTTTGAAGTTGAGAAAAGTCCTTTTCTGCTGTCCCTCCCTGATTATCCACATACTGGTCCTCCGACAAAATGTACTATGGGTTTTCGAATTTGCGGCCCATTCGCAGCACTTAGTGGATCATTGCGCAACACCTCTTCCAAGGTACAGAAGATGAGAAGGGGCCACGTAATAGCATAATGACTACTGTACTTCTAATGCTACCCACGTGTGCAGTGGAATCAGTTTCGCAAAGCGTAGGCCTTGTTGGTTGACAGAACAGATTGACTTTGTATTTCGCATCTCCCACTGCTTCATTTTCTAGGTACCCAATATATTTCCAAAGCTTATCTGTTGACTCTTGTGACCCTTCTTCTCATGTCGCAAGGGAGAAATCACTATTTCCCTTTGCCTGAAGAAATTACTGCGTATTCATTGATATCTGCAGGAGCTGGTCCCGATTCGTGATCAGCGTCTCCAACTCTCCCGTGCACTGATTTCCTGATCGAAATAAAGCCAAAGCAATCTCCCCGATATACGAAAGATCAGGAACTTGGTCAAGGTCTCCTCACTCCTGCGATGAACACCCTCAGAAATTCCATCACAAGTTTCCAGTGAAAAATAAATTTGGATGAAAGCTGGGTACGATAAATGCTCGAAGATATCCTAGTTATCGATGTTAGGATAAATGTGTTGGATTTGCTGTAGCGGCGTTGTACTGCACCACTGCGCGTGCATAGAGCGTTGATCTTCCGCTTGACTAGTTCAACTGCCGCTTGAGTCAAGTTCGCTTTGAAATTACCGTTAATGACCGTTACGGCGGACTAAAGTTTAACGGTGCCATAAGAATTTCAATGAATTGGTCGCCTCTGCGACTGAAAACGGGCCCTGTGTATGTCGCATTGGTACAATGGGATATCTTATAGCCAGAAGGAATTCGTTTTGTTAATAGTGAGGTAACCATTTGATGGTTAATAAGTTTAAGACAGGAGATGATACCTGGTTGAGATTACGCTGCAGACATAGGCGACGTTAGCACAATCAACTCGCGTGAAATTTTTGAGTCCAAGTTCGTGAAGAATCTTTTCCGTGTTTGGGAATGTCGATTTATCGTCCTCTCCATTAAGATCACTAGAAATACTTTATTCCATGCATATATTTGATGCAGACTACCTTATAAGACCAAGTTCACGCTCGCGCCGTGCTCGAACCGTGAAGCTCAGGAAAAGAAGGGTGGCATAGAGGTATGAAGGAAAAGTGACAAATTGTCAAAAAAAGTCGAAAGATAGAGTCCGAGAATACCTAATGTGCAGAAGCTCTCCCTGGACCATGCAGTAGTGTCCCCGGCCATCTGTTTTTGTTCTCCACCCTTCTCGTATCGCTTCACCGTTCCTATACAGTGATGAGGGTTCCACCATATGTGTACACTCTCTCTAGGCCATTATTTCATTGTCTCTTCTACGCTCAGCTCGCCCAGCTAGCGCCGGGCGCTCCTCCTTCTGTGCCGAAGCCCGGCTTCGCCGGTCTGACCCTGGCACTTTTTCCTGGGAGAGGTAGCATGCGCAAAATATGCCAAATGATGACAGCGATTTTTTATCTAAAAAACAGAAAAGTAAGCTGAAATTAGCTAAACATCAGTAATCATCTATCAACATCTGGTCCATCTGATTGCATCAACATCTGGTTGCTAACTTTGGTTTCAACCGTGCGGAGGCTGAACCATATCCCACTGACCAACACGACATCAGAATTGATTAGGTTCGTATTAGCCCGAATGAACGGCGTGACATACATGGCTTCAATGCCTTGGAAAAGGCACAACTGCAGTCTTGGGCGGCTTTGAAAAGGAGAACATTACATTGCCTTGTACATGTCAAGCAGCGTTGCATGGGGAGCATGATTGGTGCTAGACAGGAAGTCCCCACTCCAAATTGTTGGTTTCCCCTCTTGTTTTGCTTCATTTGCGCTATACACTTCCTAACATATCATCGCACATCAGCAACAGGCAGCTTTCCGAAAATTTTTTTGACTGATGATTTTTTCAATTTTACCGTTACAGTACGCGCAATATATTCCCCCCCCCCGCCGCGTCGCCGCCCTTGCATGCATCTAAAAAGCAAATTTTCATGGACGATATCGAATGGTTGACATCGAACGAAAGAGTTCACACACTAATACTTGGCATTATAGTGGTAAGAAGTGATAGAGTCTAGTGCAATGGAATCGTATCCTACTGATTGATATGATTATCAGTCACCCGTAATTAATGTCCTTATCAGTGAATCTTTATAAGCTGGTAAGATCTTTATAAGCTGGTAGTGTAAAGGCTGCATCACCTCAAAAGGCGAGAGAATAGCAACGTCCCTTATCAGCATCTATCAGTAGTTACGCTCCTAGTCACCTACCGATGATGCTCCCAGCTCACCGTCTATATCACTTCCTGAAACCAATGCCCGCTGATGCTGTAATCTGCGCTGTGAATATGATGACCTTACCTTTCTAACGCCACTTATCGAATCTTATCAGCATCACTTCCTGTCACCCATCAATAAAGTTTCCGGCCTATGCCCTATATCATACCTACGAACATCCATGTCACATCATACATGCACTTGCAAGGACGCGCACTTGCAAGGCTTGGCAGGTGTGGAAAGCATGTGCGGTCTATGATGCACGGACGGCACCGGGGGCAACTGAGCGAGTCCAGAAGTCGTGAAGCGTGAGAAAAAACCGCGTGGCAACACTAAATGTTGAACGGACGGAACGCGCGTGTGAGTTGGCAGAGGCCCTGGAGCGGAAGGGAATACACTTTTCCGCGGTGCATCGAAGAAGGCGGTCCAGTTCCAACTCAAGAGACATTGGCTGTGGCTTCAAAGCCATTCTTCGTGGTAAGCAAAGAACTACCAACGGTGTGGATGATTGTCTCTCAACGTTTCCGTGACTCGATAGCAAATGTGGAACGCTTCGAGATCGATTGATGAAGATCGCAGTCGCTGTTGAGCAGCAACTGTACCAGTTCTTCACTGCTTATGCCCCGTAAACTGCCTGCAGCAAGCAAATCTAAGGACGAGGTCTGGTCTCTGCTTGGGGAGAATACAGCTGAGATGCCGTCAGAGGATGTCGTCATTGACGCTAGTGACCTCAAATGGGCACGTAGGCGCTATGAAAGACGATTACGGTTGTCATAGTGGTTCCAGTTATAGGTCACGCAATGCCGATGGCGAGCGAAGCCTCTACCAACACATATGCTTTGTCCTTCTTAAAAGTAGCGACCAAGGGCTCCTCACAGAAACGAAGACTCCCATACGAGACAGCTGCCACGCAACAGCACCCACTAATCTGTACGTCGAAGATTTCCACGCCCAAGTGAAACAGGTTGGTGTGTCGGTATGTATGTCGATATGTAAGTATGTACGTCTGTCGGCTTGTCTGTCCTTCCGCGAAGCGCCTATGAAAGTGTGATAAGGGCAGCGAAAGGAAGAAGAAGCCGTAGCGCCTAGGAAACCAGCTGATGCTGAAGTATCCAAGCGACTCAGTGTTTTTGCTGTAATAACTCCCTTTCGCTACATCCAGTCAGTACACCGTGAGCTATTCAAGGAGATGCTGTCGCAGATAGAAGGGAAGCAAGTTTGGAAAGAAAGCTGCGCTAACAAATGTCAGAAGCCAGAAGTGATAGTCTGTAATCTGCGTATAGGATCTCGCCTGGAGATGTGCACGGACCAACATAGGAAAGGGGGGCGCCGCGGCTGCTGGCAACAGAAACGGGTGAGATGGAAAGAGAAGGTGAACAGGGAAGGTCAGCACGTCAGTTCGGTCTCTTCCAATTAGATGCATATTTCTGCACTCGACATTGGAGGATTTAGAATCTGTTTTCCGAAACTGCTGAACAACTTTCAAAGCAGGTAACGAAAGAGTTTTTCCCATCACTCTCCTGAACACGGCCTGCAGCACAGCAGCAGGTACATTGAATCAGCGGTCACCTCTTCGTGCAGAAATGGTTCTTATCGAATAATACTGCTGATGTCTAATAGCGTGAACTCATTCCGATCGTTAGGCTGACGTCTGAGTGTAGTTTGAGCTCAAGTTCAACAAGTATCTAACTACGATTGAGTCGCGATAAAATAAAGATAACAGACTACTAGGAAGGCAAAGAAAAGTAGAGTGGGGTTCCGATTCTCTGTTATCGCGTATGCAAATCAACCTCATTGACCACTCGGTCATGCAACCACGAAACCGGGCATTTGTTGACGTGTTTAACGTGCTGCTGTGGAACTTGTATTAAGGAGGTGGGGGAAAACCATTCGTAACTATGCTCAAATAGAACCATTCAATAGATTTGCCCAGTGAATTTGAGCTCAGCGTGTCAAAACACATACAGAGATGTGCATCTTATCGGGACCGCGGTAATGACTTCTCAATCTTTTCTTTCTCAGATGAACGGAGCTTGGCTGGATCATATTAAACCTTGAGTAATCCTGTTGCACATTTTCGAGTGGCGAAATTGACTTATCTTCTGCAACTGTTACTCCATGACGTGAAGGGATTCTAGAGGTCAGGCAATCGCAGAATGTGCCGTGTTGTTAGGAGTATGGGTGGCATGTTCAGCCTTGCGCTCAGAGACCGCTTATCTCTGATAAAGACACAACGTAAGACTTGCTAAAGGGCGCGTATTCTTCAGTGACCGGCGCACTTACACACGCTCAGAGACCGCTTATCGGAATTTAGTGTGTTCTTTATCTCTAACACGCTGCAGATTTGCCACGACAGATCATCCAGTTCCGCTTGCTAATGAGTATGGTATAACGCGCACGTGGCACTGTTTGCAACGCCTCTTTCGCAACACATATTCAGATGTGCTCACCCCATTCACGTCATACAATTAGGCGCTCCCATATCGCGAGACGACGGCTTGTGAGCACTCAGTAAAAGGCCTCGTGAACGTACCTTTCGATGTCTGATATAAATTTTGTAGTGAACTGGTCTTTCTTGGACAGTGCTTCCGTTTGACCGCCCAGCAGCAGTCCTTGTTGCGCTAGTTCCTTCAAAACCGTACGAACCAGCTCGCCAAGATAGAGTCCAGATATCATTTTTTCAAAACTGAACGAACAGTAACAGAGTATCATTTGGGAAATGTGGAGTAAGAGCTATAACTCTTACATCTGTTTTCCTGGATTTATACTGTTTCTATCCACTTCTCGATCGAATTTCGTGTGTATGAATTTTAAGGAACCGTCATCTCCGAACGCCCCCCACTCCGTATTCATAACTATCTGGAATCGGTTACTCATGATCAGAAAATATCCCCATAGAATATCACGTTAGTACTTTATCGCCCGCTGATGTCCGTGTTGTTCATCGGAACGGGCAAGCGTGCAGGAAATAGACAGTCGAATAACATGATTACTTTTCCACACTCTGTTTCTGTGTTGTTTTTTGCTACCAGACCATTGAAATATGTGAATGAAAGAGGAGCTTTCCAATGAGACAACGGCAACTAGCCGTCCGTGGCATGAGTGGGCTACTTGCTGTACTTGTAAATTAGGAATGTTTAGGGTAGTCACAACACGCGTTTCAGGCGAGGGAGCGCGGAGAAAAGCAGGAAACCGATGTAAGTAAGCACACATACTGCGATTACGTGATAGAAAGCATATCCCTCCTATACAAGAATCCCAGCTGGCGAACTCAGGGATTGTGCCACTCGACAGTGAGTGACGAGGGTGCCACGGGAATTCGCCTCACGCTCTTGTGAGCGGCTATTTGAAGAGAGGCCACACGCGTTTCGTTCGTTCTTTGAAAGCCGGAATTTGTCGTCTCATTGTCTCATTCACCTTTCTGTCCTCTCATCTTCTGTCTCTAACCTCGTCCGCGCAGCAGCCTCCCGCTTCTTCGTCTCCTCACCGTCCTAGACCCCTTACTCAGATTGTCTTCGACTGTTTCGTTTATTTTTGCTTTATTTGCTGAGGGGTATGTGGGCTCAACAAATGCAATCGCGGAAAGTGTCTTGATGGAAGGAGTTTAAAAATCCCGCGATCAAGACACAGCGAAATGCCACCGTGCATTTGGCATCGTTGTCCGCACTCGCAGAGAATATACCATTTTCGTCACTGAAATGGCAAGATAAGAAGCTGGAGACGCGTGGGTATTGCAACCGTGCAACCACGCACTGTGACTCTGCGAGCAGCGACTTGAGCGGAATTGCGTGTGCGTTGCCTGGAGCGCCGTAGAGCGGTTTCCTATGCTCTTGCCGGCAACTGGTTCCACACGGATTCTGTTGATTGCGCTTGTCCCCATGATTCATTCTGCTTTTCGTTTTTGGAATAGGTCCTTTTTTGTAAGAATCTTTCATGATGAAGGAGCACAGGCTGATAAGCGCATGTGCTCCTTCACTACGGAGCATTTTCACAGATTTTTTCGAGTTGTCCGTTCTAACCTGTTAAGAATATTTTTCTTTCCGTGTTTAACGGATGTCTCTAGTACTATTAGTTTTCACAGCGAAGAAATGATTCACTCTTTGCTTTTCCTGCAGCTCATTCATTATTCAGTTATTACGAGTTTTCGTTATCGTTGTTTGATTTTGTAGTGATTGTATGTGACAAGGATCATGAAAAACGGCGAGTTTTTCTCTTCAACCTAATATACTGATGATCACGGATTTCCGGCACGTCCAATTCCGACAAATTCATCCAAGGCAGCGACCCCACTGTTAAGAGGGGGTCTCTGTTCAGGGTGTTCCCAAGATTTTCCCACTTCTTCCACTACTGGGAAGTTACTTATGGGCTACTGGTTCATGGCTGAGCACATAATACACGTAGCACTTGATCGCGGGGAAAGTTTTTGAACCGTGAAAAAATCAGACGTAGACACAGCGTGTCGATTCCAATCTCCAAACTCCATCTCCCCAGACAAGCACTATAGCTGAAAGAGTGTACTACAGCCAGCTCACTTCATCAGGCAATCCATCGTCCGCCAGTTTGTCTTTGAGCTTCGGAATTCGATCGATTTGCTCCATGTAGCAAGCGTTTGTTCCACTACCGATGATAATTCCAATCTGCGCATGAATAAATTTCATCCACTGACCATCAGGAGCAGAAATAATTCGAGAAATGATAATGAGAAAAATCACGTAGTGGTTGGCTCTGTGTCCATATACGTAGAAAAAAGTTTGAAACAAGCCCAAGTCGCGAGCTTTTCAGTTTAACATATAGTTTCTGGATTGCATCGGAACAGAATTTCGAAGATTATTGCGATGCGGCGCTGCTACTTTGACATTAGACGCTTTTCGAAGTTTCTTATGCTTTGCGGTCCATAGGAAGAAGATCCACCTGTCTAAGTGTTCGCTTTCCTTCTATTTCTTTTCTTTCAGCTCTCAAGAGACCTACGTTGTTCCCAAAGCATTAGAAACTCGAAAAATCGGTCCAATATCAGAGTGCCATCGGCGACTTCCACATCGCAATAATCTCAAATTTTGTCGCGGTAACGAATTTATCAACTTTAATTTTCAGAATAGCATTTGGAAGCATACTTGATTTTGAGCGAAGGAAGTTTTCATGTGCAATTTGAAAGTGTAAAACTATCAAAAAGCGCGCGACTTGGGCTTGCTCCGTGTTTCTTTTTTTCTGCGGCTGTATATACCTATGCAAAAGTACATACACACGAGCGGAAAAACCGTACAAAAAATAAAATTTTCAACCGTTTCCACTCATTTATTCTTTTCTAAATCAAGAACGACAGGAACAGTAGTCAACAAATCAATGTAATGAGATAAATAAAAACAAATTGGCAGAGGTGAGGAGGTGGTGAGGGGGTAAGCGGATTATATTCTATTGGCTTAACTAGCTGGTACCAGGCTGTCAGATACTACCATACAATGACTTGTATATTGAGTGGCCGCAAAAGTTACTGCATGGGCAATGTCACACTCAAAAGCCACTACCATTCTCAATGGGAGTGGAATGTGAGCTGCATCCTGAGAAGTGATCATCATACTCCAAAGCTTCGCCTTTTGCAGTAAGCTTTCTCTACCGGCCGTCATAGTACTGCGATGTTCGGAACGACATGTTGCAGTGTCAAGGGTTATTCTCAACTGGTTCATGGGACGGAGCGATAGGCTTCTCCAAATGTTCTTTGCCCTTTATTCCAATTTCTCTTTAACGAAGCACTTTTCTTTTCTCTTTAGAGCCTCAGGAACTTTAAAAATCAATCCACTGTTAGAGGAGGAGAGACCATTGTGGAGACGTATCCTTCCGCGGTAGGCTTCGTTCCGTAAAATCAACCGATTCTAGTCTCTGCAATAGCTTGCAAGGTGCGCTGAATTTGAGACTAAGCTTGCATAGGCAATTCCAAAAGGTCTGGCAAAGTTATTAGAAAGCCGCTGCTTTGGCTTGTCCCAATTGTTTCTCCGCTGGTGTATATAAAGCTCCGAAAAAAATGGAACAAGCCGAGAAAACCGGAATTTCCATGAAAATACTGCTTGATTTTCCTTGGCTTATGTAACGAAATATTGTGGATACAGTGCCTAAAAGAATTTTTGAAGCCAGCAAAAACGACCCAAGCAAACACAGAAGTACGTGAAATCTAGGTTCCGGCATCCAAGACCAGCGTCAGGATGACGAAATGACCGAGCAAGCCTTCACGTTAACCCCATCTGGCATCTTTGAGATGACTTGAAGTATGAGTCAAAGGAAAGACCATCAACACGAATGAGCAGTTCTATGCATTCTAGGGGAGCTGGAGCCGAATATTGGTGATACCCCGGAAGCTCGGAGTCGATTCCAGACGTTGAAAGCTGTGGTCAAGTCCAGTAGTAAGCAAACCAAATTCAGAGCGCTGATTAGTTTTTCTGTTCTTGAATTCCCACTGTCTGCCTCCTTTCTCCACTGCATTCACTGTGAATAAGAGATTCAAAACTGCTTGGAACTCGATTTTGTGGCCTGTTCCATGTTATTTTTCCGCAGCGTATGTCTTCATGCTTCCTACCACGTTTGATAGGCATAACTTTGTGGAAACTTTCAATTTTTCGAGCGATTTGGACTATTCGATTTTCGGGTCGGGTTTCACTTAGATGGTACGAAAGAAAAATTTGAGCATCACAGTTACCTCTGCTGTGCATGACATTTGGCGGAATTTACCTGGCATGTGTTCTCCTTGAAAGCGCAAGCCATCAGTGTTCCAACGGTATCGTTGAGCAAAGCCACAACATCTATGTCGATATCCTGAACGAATGAGCACCTTCATGAAGATGGCGCACATTGATCCCCCACACCCAGACGTAATATTTGCTTGCATTAGGTGATGGTGAGGGAATGGACACCACATCAGTAAGCAGGATTGAGGTCTTTTGGCTCGACGAATTGGGTTGGGCTACATCTTAAATTCAATGTGAGCGTCAGCTTGAATTCATAGTCCAGGCTCGATGTCAGTTATCAATCACCTTATCTACCTCTCTGGTGTTCGATTCACATTCAATAGCTAATTCAGTCTCCCCTCGAGTTTTAGCTTTCCAATAAACACAATCATATCAGTCTACATTTTGGTATAGTGCGCCACGGCTACTTTCACGTGACTCAGGGTGAAAGAAAAACCACTGCTGACTTGAAACCCTGAACGGGATCGTGGCCCAAGTAATAAAGATGTATTCACATATATAAGCGCTTTTAAGGTTTTAGACAAGCATCTTACATCATAATACCGCAAGCGTCGTTCATCTTATTAGCTTCACTATTTTCCTTTCTTGGGATTCATGGTTTTTTATACCAGTTTTGTTCGCACGCACTCATGAACTTTGATAGCAGTTCTGTTCATACGCATTGAGTTCTATTAGGTTGTTCGAAAAGTCCTGCGACACTTTGATTGAATTGTTCTAGAAAAAGACCAAAAATCATTTTGAATGTTTTTATCTCTGATTAGTGGAGACTGTCTCCTGGGGTTTCTGAAAATGGGTATATCATGGCTCCGTGGAAGTTTTCAAAGCTTAAAAATACCTCAGAGATCGAGGTACTTCTCGACCTATCCCATATTATGAGTTCCTGTAGGGCAACTCCGCCATAGTCGAGGAAGCTAACACTTACGTTGTCTTGAGGAAGGATATCGCTTGCCATAGCAGAGAGTTCCTTTTGCATCAGCGCTTCCAGGCTGGACTTATTCAACTCGGAAGTAGGCAATGTATAGGTCGGCCACCAGCACAGAATGACGGCCCTTTACTCAAGCTTCTTGAGGCGCAGCCGAACGTAACCACCAGTAAGTTGGCAACCTCTCTAGGCTCCACCTAACTGACAACTGCCATGCTTCTCCGCAGTCTCGGTTATCGGAAAAATTTTTATGAAGGATGCCTCATGAGTTGAACCCCTCTGACAAGTCATACCGAATGACCGTGACTGAGTTTTTTTCCTTGTACACACTGGAGGAACATTTGTGAGATCTTGTGGTTGGTAGAGAGTGGTGGGGTCCTTGCGTACATCTTGCACATGTTCCTCGCAGGATCTCTCAAACAGAAAAGTAGATTGCACAGCCAAAAGCAGATGTGCATGGGATAAAGATTTCAGTAGGTTATTGGTGGGACTTCAAAGCGGTATCTCTGGATACTAGCATAACGGTAAGGACTACAGTCCACTCTAACCAACCTCACAACATGGATGACGTCACGCTTGAATTCTTCAAAAATACTCAATTTTTCTCTACCGCTCGGCAATGCGAAGACCGCATGTTAGGATCAGGCCACACCAAAAGATCGTGGATCTTGATCTGAGAATGCGACCATACCCAGCTTATTCATCAAAGTTAGCAGTCTCTAACTACTACCTTTTTTGATCCCTACCGCATCCTTAAGAAGGCAAAAATTCCGAAAATCGACGTCTACTCAAAAATGAGGTCCACCTCTTCTTCTTATCATAGTTGCCGTAGTTCTATAAGAATGGAAATGAGAAGCTGTGCAAAAGAAGGGCACTAGTCCTAGTCCTTAGTGGTGATTACCTTGTAGATTGGAGATGTCTTTTAGTGACTGAAAATTTAGTCCGAAAAATTGGTCAAAGTGTCGCAGGACTTTTCGAACAACCTAATAATAGCGCTGTTTCCCTGTTGATTGGTTTTTGTATTGTTGTGTTTTTTTCTTTCTTCTTATCGACACCACCCAGGATTACCTGTGTAGTAAACAATTACAATTATAAGAGGGCAGCACTTACAGAGCGTCTACCGCAAGCTTCTTTCAGCATTTTGCATACATCCATACCCTCGCATCCGCTCACCTTGAAACCTTTGGTCCAACGGATAAGTTTCGCACTGTAAAAGGCTTCGCTGATACCTTGCATTATGAGTTGACAGTACACTATTGGACTGCGAAAATTTTGCCGAAATAGAGGGCCTTCTTTGTAGGAAAATGGCTTGATGTAAGATGTGCAGCTGAGAAAATCGTAGAGTGTGAGCTTCAAAAGTGTGAGCTTGCTTTTAAAAGTTATTTGAAACAGTGAAACTGATTTTGGTTGTCCACGTAACCCGTTCGTTGTAGTAGACCGCTCACTGCTCATGAAGTCATTCTCTTGAGTCTCTCTCGGAAATCTCGAAAAAAACTAGAAAAGTGGTAGAAAATTGGGAAAATCTAGGACTGTGGTAGGTAGGGTTGAGAAGATGGGGAGTCGTATCAGAGGAGGGAATTTGGGCCATGTAATTCAACAAATTTCCCTCAGCGGTAGGACGTGCTCTGATTGGGGGTGGCAGAGGGCATCCGCTTCTCCAACAGAGTGTTCCCAATTCTGCGAATGCGTAGGCAAATCAGATTCAGTATCGTCTCATGGAAGTCACAATTGTTTAGGAAGCAAAACCCTCATAGCTCCCTCTGTGAATCAAAAATTGTGATTGCTATCCATAGCTAGTAGCATGACCGAGGAAAAAGTAGTGAGTGTGCCAGAAAGCATGCTCACCTTGTAAGCCCTTCTTGTTTACAAGGGAAGGAGAATGTGAAACCGAGTGGAAGCTTCCGTGAGAAGGGTATTCCTTGCTCTTCCATGAAACGCGCCATGCACTCGGCAATGTGATCGAAGAGCTGTAATTAACGAAAAAAGAATTGAAGTTCTCTATGCGCATTGAGGACCAGTGACTACCTCAAGTATTAACAATAAGCAGTTTAAAGTGTTCATCAAATAGCGAAGCATCAGAGTGATTTGTGCAAGTGACGGTAGAAAAGCAGTAGTGAAAAGGATAAGTCAGTGGAATTCATGTTGACACTCAGGTGGACTAAAATGTTTCTCATCTCATTTTTATTCGAATGTCCCTTGGCCATAGCATTCAGGCATGCTTCTCACAAGCTTGGACGCTTGCCTTGACTGTAATCAAATGCATACAGGGCTTTTAGATTTTCTTGGGACACAACAATCATCCTGTACCTCTTCACATGCAGTTCCTGAGCAGTAGGTATGATGAGCACCCAAACTGGTGAACAACACAAGTCATTCGACAAACTGCGATAGAATTTCATTATCTGCTCTGTTATCATCAGTGGCTGTGCTAGCTCAACTCTCCGGTTCCTCCGAAGAGATGCATCAAAAGTCCGCGAACCACTATTTCATTTCAAATCCATCGTTCTGCTTGACTAGGAGTAAACGGCGTTATGATGGTTCCGATCTACGATCAGGAGTGAGCGGTTGTCGTCAAGGCCGTTGGTGGAAGGATTCACTGAAGTGTGGCGTCCTCTCAGCCTTACCACAAATGACACTGGCAACGATGGTAGTCTTCGAGCAATCGTGCCACTGAATTTGAGTTTCCTGACAGCTACCGCGACCTTTATACAGGGGGGGGGCAATAAAAAAGGACACTTCGACCGAGTTACATACCAGCAAAATTTCCGCAGCCCAAACAGAGGACGTGGATATGAGTATCACGGCGGACGATACCCAAGATGTTCCTCTATAAGCAGGAGCTGGCTCTTGCCCACCTCCATGTACACCAAATTATGAAGACAATCTCCAGCCCGCCAAGCCTGACTGGAGAAGACCTTTGGAATTCATGTCACCTCCAAACAGCTGCGAAACTTCTAGTGTGGAGTCACCCATGGATAGCTACCTGGAGACCAGTACTCTTCGTATTCCTCCGGATGACCTCCAACATCGAGCAGCTCCGACAAGGTCGCTATGGTTCAGGATATCATCTTCACCCGCAGTCGCCAAGGGGCGGGTTATGTTATGGAAAGGAAGTGCCTGGAATGGGAAGACCTATATTGTCCTCGTGGACCCCGAAATGAAAGTGAACAATAATTGTTACATCGAACAGCTCGAGGAGAATATTCTTCCTTCATGTAGTCGCCCTACCATCTTGGAAACTATGTACTGCTACAGGATTGGGTGCCAGCACATGGAAGAAGGGGGGGGGGGCTGAGTACCCGAAGAAGACGGAATATAAAAGTGTGTCGCCTGACTAAAACCCCCCGCGATTACCGTCCGGGAGGAGCTCAACACGGTAGTCTACAGTAACGGAGAAACCAACGACCCCGTTGTACTCAGGCATCGAATCACGGTCGCGTGGCAGAATCTCTCGATGGCGTTCATCTAGACGGCAGTGGCGAAGTATCGTGATAGTGTACACTCCTTATACCTGAGCCAGAGTAGGCGTGGCATTTGAACATTGCACCGGAACTGGTTACTCGTGGAATATTCCAATCTGGGACAACTGTCATCTCGTTCTGTGTCGGTAAGAGACACAACAACAGTTGTGTCAAGATGGAAATATTCCAAGAGAAGCACAGACACCTTCAGGTTAAGTTGAAGAATGCGGCCCCGCCTACCCGATCTCAGGGATCTCGAGTATACAATGCGTTGTTGAGTTTGATGGTGGAAATGTCCAGTTCGCATGATAAACCCCTGGGGCGAATAGGATTGTGCCTGGAAGCACGGAATTCCGCGGACCCGAGCTGGCGCTACGTTAGTGTCTCTCCCAAAAAGGGTGTCCTTGTAATTCCCTATCAAGCTGTAACACACCGAACCGGACGTCCACCGTAATCGTCCGCCCACAAATGTCCGACCGATCCTGATGTTGGTATCGCTTCATTTGCGAAGAACAATATGAAGCGAAGGGATTGATATGAAGCGGCTGCGATGCTGCATGGATATGATGAAAAATACGAGCAGCCGTATCTACCGTAGCGGTTATTGGCACGATGCCGACAGAAAACTCATCCGAAATAGCTTCCTGGGTCGTGTAGAAGAACGGCTTTTTGCAGGTCTTTGACCGTTTCACTTCGTTTTTTCGCCATTTTCCCACTATATAGCGCCCTGCTAGCATTTTAGGCTGAGTACCAAAATATCGTGCCTACTCCCTTCAATAAATTGTAACTTATTTTGCTTTGAAAGTCGAAGGGAAAAGTGTCTTTTTTGGCCCTCTTCCCTGCAAATTTATAAAGTTATCAAAGTCAAGTCATTATCAAAGTTGACTTCGGTGGCCTGTTGTGGAGTGTCTGCACCATTCACTTCCTTGTAGCTGGATTTTCATCACTCATGACTCGCTTTATTAGTTGAGCATCATGAATGATTCGCAAATAGCAAGCATATGCCTCGTTTCTGCGTAAGCCCAACGAGAACTACGGAATAAGCCATGTATGAAGTACAGAAATATGAGAAGCAATCTGTTCGACTACTATTGTCCTATCTATACAGGGGGGCCAAAAAAAAGTCATTTTGCCTCCATGACTTTCAAGGCGCTATAAGTTACACTTTATTAAATTTTTATCGGACATTTTTACTACCATATTAAAGAGCACATTAAATACTATAATGATACTCCGCCACAGCCTTCTGGAGGAGCGCCATCGAGAGATTCGGCCGCGCGAAAGTGAGTGGGTACCGGAGTTGAGCGAGATCGTTGATTTCTCCGCCACCGTAGACCACCCTCTTGAATCCGTCCGAGCTAGTAATTGAGTGGGTTCAGGTCAGGGGACATACTTTAATATTACATCTTCTTCAGGTACGAAACGCCCTTCCATTCGAAGTAGGCGGGAGTTTTTCAAAACCCTTTGATTCCATGTGGTGGCACCCAAACCTGTAGCAGCACAAGGTCTCCAAGAAGGTACGGGCGACCACATGTAGGGAGGATATTCTTCTCGAGTTACTTGATGTAACCGCCAGCGCTCACCTTCAGTCGGGGTCTACAAAGAAAATATCGGTCTTCCCCTTTCCAGGTACCCCGGTCCATACCATCAACTCGCGCCTCGGCGAATACGGTGAAGATGATGTCCTAGACCGTAGCGACGTTGCCGTAGCTGGTCGATGTGGGAGGTCTTGCAGGTCAAGAGTACTGACCTCCAGGTAGCTATCTGTGGATGACTTCATTCAAGAAGTTTCGCAGCTGTTTGGAGGCGACGTGAATTCCAAAGGTGTTCTCCAGTCAGGCCGCGACTGGAGATGACTTCATATTTTGGCGTACATGAAGGCGATTGGCGGCAGCGTGCTCCAGCTTATAGAGGAAGATCTTGGGTATCTTCCACTCTGGTACTCATATCCACTTCCCCTGTCTGGGCTGCGAAAACTTCGTTGATATGTGGCTCGGCCGAAATGACTTTTTTGCCCCCCCTGTATATAATCCGCTAAGTTTGTCTGTTGGTGTTGTGTTGTGTGTGTGTGTGTGTGGTGGAATGTTCCTACTATATATAATCGCTAATGTGTCCTGTTGTTGTGTGTGTGTGTGTTGTGTGTGTGTGAATGTTTGTGTATGTGATTGTGTTTGACCGGAAATTCATAACTTTCTTCAAAACAGCGACAAAGCGCTCAAATTGATCAGTTATGTAGGGGGTGGGGCAGGAACATTATTGATGGGTGGCCAGGAAGTGATAACAGTTGATAAGATACCATAAGGGGCCTTAGAATGGGTGGGTTCCCTAATTGATAACACCGGCCAGAGCAACGACCGGACGTTGGATCCAAGCACTAAGATAGGGGCAGGATGGGAACATTATTGGTGGGTGGCAGGAAGTGATAACAGCTGATAAGATACCCGAAGGAGCCTTAGAAGGGAAAGGTCACCAAATTCTATAGCGCCGGCCACAACAGCGATGGGACGTTGGTTCCAAGAAGTTGGATCAGGATCAGGATGGGACAATTATTATTGGGTGGCAAGACGGCAGGGTCGCCCCCGAAGTTCATAGCACGAGTTGTAGCAGCACTGGGGGAATGTCGCGCTTCCGGCAATTCACTCAGAAGGGGTTACAGAGCATTCGTGAAGGGATATAAGTTGTATATAGTGTGAGAAAAGGGCTGATAGCACCAGTACCTGTTCGCATCCTTACTGCTCAGCCTGAACTTGAGCACCGGTGCCCACGAAACAATGGGCAGAGGCTTATGTGTCAACTTACTCCATCCTTTAGTGATAGGGTTATGACTGATCGACCGGCTTAAACACTCGAGAAGTCGACAAAAATTAAAAGCTTTGGAAGCTGCTTAACGAAAGTATTAGGATGTGAGAATATATCACTATGGTGTGCATGTTATTACCATGAAAATTCTTTCAACCGCTGAGCTGTACTATTTCCAACGAATGGTGAGTGCTCTTTAGAAATGTGATAAGCACCAGACATTAGCAAATGTTCATTAAACAGGAGAAACATAATGAAATGGGCCGTATTTCAAAAAATGGCGCTCGGGCCCAGTGTTCGGGGTCAGCACAGGAATCCTGTCAGCGATTAGTACCATTACCATAGATTCAACCATGCGCGCAGTAGTGCGCGTCAGCCAAGCTGGTCCTACTATATATAATCCGCTAAGTTTGTCTGTTGGTGTGTGTGTGTGTGTGTGTGTGTGTGTGTGTGTGTGTGTGTGTGTGTGTGTGTGTGTGTGTGTGTGTGTGTCACGAAATTCATAACTTCTTCACAATATAATGCGCTTCAAACTTGATAGATGATGTGGAGGTCGGCAGCGACACTTATTGGTAGGTGGCAGGACTAAATAAGAGCTGATAAGATACCGCGAGCAGCCTTATAAGGGGAGGATCACCAAATTCATAGCGCGGGCCACAGCAACGATGAGACCTTGGTTCCAG